GGATAACTACCACAGATAAAGGATATTACGAAGAGAAGTAAGTAGATTTAAAAAAGACATGTGACATGTTTCAGAATATCGGTTTGGCAAAAAGCCATGTTGTTAGGAGTTCAGAATCTGATTGCTTGTGTAAAAATCCGTAACTTTTTGGCACTTAATTTTTCAAAGAGTTTAGCCAGAGAGGGCGTTTTGTGAACACCGCGGTAATTATGAATATCGGAGCTGGAACCTGATTTAAAAACTGGAATTATAGTAGAAGTTTCCCAGTTATCAAGGCAAAAGCCATTCTCGAGAAATACTGAAAATAATTTAGTCAGTAAAGGCGGAAAATCTCTTAATTGTTTAATGAGTGAATTTAGAATGCTATCAGTTCCAACCGAATGTGAATTTTTAAGCCAACTTATTTCTTTTTGAATACTAGCGGGTGAGAAATAAATGGTAGGGAGATTTGAATCACACAGCAGAGGGATTGTGGGAGTGGGGCTAGTTTCAGTGGTAAAGAACTTGGCGAAAAAGGAATTTAACAGTTCTGCTTTGTGCAAATCCTCTGTAACAAAATGCTTGTTACTGTCCAGTAAGGGCGACATGACTTTCTGAAGCTTTGCCGCCGACCGACGACCGAAGACAGAAGACCTGAACAGCAGATATGGAAGAATTAGCATTACTTTATGCTAGGGACTCCCTACACCTATCTCGTGAAAGCCTTATTTTAAGCGCTTATTGAAATATTTGCGCTATCCTTAAGTGAACTGGCAAAGGGCTATTAGACGGATCCTTAAGCTGCTTTCGTAATTTGTTAGTCTATTTTGGAGAAAATATGGAACAGTAGAAGAAGCCGAATTTGATTTAAAAACCTTAAGTGGGATAAACGCCTGAATATTTTCTGTAAGGGTTTGCAATAGCTCCTGGAAAAAGTTTGTATCGTTAGTTGAACATATGCTTTACCAATCTAGAGTGCTTACGACATCATTTATTAATTCATGGTTCACGTTAGAAAAGTTATTGCATTTTTCCTCAGGCTTTTTAGAAAGGGAGCCCGGCAAATAACAGTGAATTAGTGCGTGGCCACTTGTGAAAAGATCCCGATAGAAATTCATAAAAAGAGGACGGACGTCATTCGCAAATTTAAATCTGATATGCTGTCATAACTGACATAACTTTGACATATTTGAAAAGTAAAGAGTACCTACGAATTTCTGAAGTCTTGGCGGACAGGTATTTGTGTGCCAGTCAATGTCTGGCAGATTAAAACCACCTATGATTATTTTGACATTGAATCAACTCTCTGCAACTTTTTCAAGCATTTCAAGGGCTCGCTTTCATTGCCTGAATTACATGGGAGATTATAGACACAGCCAATGACCACTTTTTATTGTGCGGAAGGATGACTGAAACAAAACAAACATTTCCAGTAAAGGACGAAATACTCAGATGAAACGGGAAATGCACAGAAGATGATTTAGTATAAAGAAGGCAACCACTGCCACGTTTTTCAACGCGGTATTGTCGGTACAGACTAAAATTATCTATAGCGAGCGTCGAGTCAGAAACAAGAGAGGGAGCCCAAGAGTCAGTGACACCCAGCACATCTGGATCAAGCTCAAAAGCAACTGTTCTTAGCTCTGTCATCTTATTAACAACTGATCTCGCATTGAGTGAGACTATACTGAGCGTATCCCTGAGATGCAGGTTACGCTCATCAGTATTTATAAAAAAAGGAAGACTTGGAGGCGGAAAGGGAAACTGCAGGGGAGAGACAAGTTGTGAAAAACAAATGGCCCTGGTGTAGAATTTGTCGAAAAGTTATTGTTTAATGAACTATGAGTATTGTAGAAAGGTATATTTTGGGAGAAATCTCTCGAAAGGAAGGCTAGATTGTGGCATGGGAAAAATAGTAGGTGGCCTAAAAAGCATTTTGGGGGATGTTAGCATAACTTGTCGGAAAATGTGCATTTGAAAATGGCGTGAATTATTTTGGAAAAATGTTAGCATAATTAGCTGACTTAATTAGTTGGGAATGTTGGACATTTTTTGGGTAAGGAAAATTGCTAACGTTAGTATTTGTATCTGTTTTAGATGCTGAAGCGTTAGCAAGGTTCCCATCGGTAGAGTTTTATTTTCCTGACGTTTCGGATTCCGCCGGGAATCTTTAATCGTAGGTGATGGTAGCATAGTCATAGTCATGCGCAGACCATGACTTTGCTACCATCACCTATGATTAAGGATTCCCGGCGGAATCCGAAACGTCAGGAAAATAAAACTCTTGTTCCAGTGATCCCACCCTCTTCTTCGGAACTGCTTCCTGGAACTTGAATATTCTCCACTATACAAATATCTAACGATAATTAAGCTAGTAACTTCAGCAGGAAACAACGAAATCTAATAAAATATCTATTTCACTAATTTTTGTTGACAAGTTGACTTTGAACCATCATCCGCAAAAAAGCAGCAAACACTTTTGCAGAATCCGCTTGGCTTGAGTGCTTTTGT